AATCGAGAGTCATTTTACAGAATAACTGCCTTGTACTCATCAGAGTGTCAAAGTCACAGAAAATCAAGGAAAGACACAGGAATTGTCACCGACTGAAGAAGATTAAATACGTGCGATAACCAAATGCACAGAGTATTTCTAAACTAGACCCTTTTGCTCTCACGGACATGGCTGAAAGGCTGGAGGGACCAGTGGGCTGGCCGCAGGGGCCCAGGAGGGTCCCGGGTTTTGGTGGCTGTGCCGCACTTTTGCAGGGAGATGCAGTGGAGCCCTGTGACTGCAACCTGCCCTCAAGCAGGTATCTTCATAGTGTATTTAGACATCTTTTGTAAGATTAAGGTTGTTTCAAGAAAAATAATGTACAGGGAAAGTGTAGGGGAGGGACCCCACACAATCCCCACCACCCTGCACGTGTCCAGCAGCTCCCCAGACCCCAGTGACCTGGAGACACTGCTTGTTCTTTAGGTGCTCAGAATAGGCGGTGAGTTTCCGTTTTGGAACTTAAACTGCATCCGTGACTTTCGTAGTGAATGCACTTTAGGGCGTGCAGAAGGGGGGCGAGCCCTCCTCTCCCTCCCAAAGGCGCACAAGGTGGGGTGGTGGGGATGGAGGGCACAGGGCTGCTGGTGCGGGCAGGTGTCTGGGGTTCTCTCTCCCTCCTTTGCTCTTTCTTTTCTTCCCTGCTTTGCAGCCTGGTGGCCCCACAGAGGGTGTGGCCCAGCTCGATGTCCTCTGGCTTCTTCTTGGCTCCAGCCAGGGCGGGTGGGGCTGATGGGGAGTGGGAGGAGGACTGGCTGCGGGGCTCTGCCCACTCCAGAGGTGGGTGCTGCGGCCTGGGCAGTAGCTCCCTCTCCTGCTGGCCTCCAGCCCTCCAGGCTGCACCCCTGCTCTCCCCTGGCTCCCTAGGCCTGGGGGAGCTCAGGAACACGCTTTCTACAATAAAAGGCACAGGCTGAGCCACAGACGAAGGCCTTAAGAAAGTCGCTAAAGGCGCTGCACCAAAGCCTTCCTTTCCTGAGAAAGGTGGCTTCAAGTGAAGAGGGCCAGCAGTCTATTGGCTTTGCCGCAGGGTCCGCCGGTCAGCCATGCGGGGAGGAAACCATGAAGACTCGGGAGGGGGTGACCTTCCACCTCTCCCTGCCTCCCCCTGTGGGAGGAGGTGAGTCCTGCCCTGACACCTGGCTCCATCTGGGCCCTGAATAGGAGCACGGGCCACAGGGGCTCCTGCTCAGCCGAGGCTTCAAGGGTCACCTTGTGGTCCTGCCGTCTTCCTTTTCCCTCGGCCTGAGACCAGCACTGTACAGGAGTTAGGGTGATCTTCAGCTTGGGCCACAGAATGAGGAAGACCCAGAACAGAGCTGAGCCAATCCGCTGTGTTACCTGAGCAAGAAGTGACCGTGCTACCATGAGCCACTGAGAGTGCGTGTGGTCATGCATTTTGGCCTGGCTTGAGCCGACCAAAACAAAGGCCTTTCCTCTGTGTTACAAAAGAAGTTATGGATGAAAAAGACTACACTTAGGACCACCTTTTAAACAGATGGACCCCTGGTACACTCCTCCCTGCAATGTAGCCAGCCTTTCCCACCTGGCAAGGGCAGGATCTATCCACACACTAGCAAGAAAGCTCAAGGTCAAGGATAGGCACATGGCTAAGAGGCTTGAGAAGAAAGCCAGCATTCTGGAAGATCCCTCACTTGAAGTCAGAGGAGCTGTCTGGGTCATTTGCACTGCGGATGAGCCGGTCTTCAGCAGTGGGGCCAGCGCTGAGGCCCACGGACGGCGAGCCTGGTGCTCATGGTGTCCATCAGCACCAGTGTTTCCACGAGGATTGTCAGAGTCTTAGCGTGATCTGGGGACGACCCCTTCATGTCTTCAGTCCCATTACTTCCCTGCTGTGATGTAGCTGCGTCTAAGCCTAATTCTCCTCTAATTCCTATTATTTTTAGAGTGTGATTTTGAAGAATGCAAAGTTTTTCAGAAATGCACGTGGCGTCATCCTGGAATGTCTATTGTAATGGCTCACAGTGCCATGTTCGGATTCAAACCAAAAGCCCTGGCGGGGCCTCCACTCTCACACTCCCTCCCCCATCCTCCCACAGGCCCAGGGCTGGGGGGAGGAGTGGGCAGTGCAGGGAGCTGGGGTTTGGGCAGTAGAGCCTCCTACCCACTCCACTACCTGCTGGCAAGGTTACCTGATGAGGTCCTTCTTGGAGCCCTGGTCCTCCTCTCTGATATGGGAGGAGGAGGAGCTAGAATGATGTGGCTGTGGCAGAACCGGCAGCCAATGGCTTTTCCTCCTGGACAGTCTAACAAGGCGAGGAGCCTGCATTTCCCTGCTTGCCCTGCATGGTGGGCAGCGCTATGACTAGTGCTTGCCCGAGCAGAACGGACATGGTCACCTCTGGGGCACTTTAAGGAAGCTGCTATGCCTCTTGCCTGGCACACCTGCTCTGTTAGCTGCTGGCAGAAGGTGCCCAGCCCTGGGGCATGCGAGGCCACCAAGGAGACAAGCAGAAGACTGGGAACCTGGGTCTGGCTCAAAACCTGCTGGGTGGGCGAGAGGGAAACTGCTGTTGATTGGGCCTCACACACTCAGTCCATGTTGTGTGGCAGTTTAGTTCATGAAGACAGAATCCACCCAACACCACAGAATCAGGGATACGAGCTTGCCCTCGTGGAGATAGGCTTTAAATCAATACATCCTAGGGGCTGGGGATGTGGCTCAAGCGGTAGCGCGCTCGCCTGGCATGCGTGCGGCCCGGGTTCGATCCTCAGCACCACATACCA